TTTAAAACCCCAATGATATTTTATATCCTAATGTTAATTAAGATATTCCCAGATACCTACCATTTTTGTTGTTTTTCACTTCTTCACTTTTTCACTTCTCTACACTTCCATCTGGGATCATTTTTCATCTAATAGCCTCTTTTTAAGCAGGTTTCCTGGTGACAAATTTTTTCTGCTGTAGTGTGTCAGAAAGGTTTTATTTCAACTTTATTCTTAGGTAGTATTTTAGCTGAGTGTAATATTCTAGGTTGGCCTCTCCCCCCTAGAAGAATGTATTTCCTACTCGTCCTTGCCACAGGGCAATATAATGAAACTATAATAGTCCAGGAGTATAGAGAACAAGGGACCTGGACCACAGTGGCCACTATAGCCACCCTAGACTGTGGAGGACCATGTACAAGGAAAAAGGAAATTAAAATCCCAATTCAGTCCTTTCAGAGCATAGCTGGATGGTGGAACAGTCAAAGCCCGTATGTTTGCCTAACGGCAGACCAGACCGAGGACTCTTGTAACTGGTGGCTCGAAACTTATGGGGGATGCGCCTACAGGCACTGCCGGATGCACAAAGTTAAATTTAATGACAATGGGTATGGAAGAGTAGTCGTAATCACACGTGATAAAGCTGAAGACCCAAAGTGGGAAAAAGGAGTTAAAGGGAAAGTTTATATAAATGGGCTCCACTCAGGACCAGTAGGGGACATCATAATCTTTATAAGAAAAGATTTATATATAGGACTACATCATCTAAAAACTGTTCAGAAAACAGTAGAGAATACTGAACCAGCAGTTAACCAATCCAGGGATCCCCCTTCTCCTGGATCACTCTGATCCAGGAGGGAGCAGCTCTTCTCAATTTAAGTAGCCCTGGGAACTTCTCAGACTGTTTCCTCTGTGCTTCCCTCAGTAAACCCCCTCTGATAGCAGTCCAAGTAATCACCACTCCCTCTGAGACAGCAAGTTCCAGCCCAGGATGGCATACCGGACCAGTCAAGGCACCCCTATATGAGAACCAGGGAGAAGAGTCCTACCTCAACAGCTCAGACTGGTGCAAGGGAAAGAAGACCATTACTCTCCACCCACCAAATGGGCTATTTTTCCAGGCCAACCAGACCTTAATACCAAAAATTAATTGCTCAGATACTCAGGTATACATCTTAGTAGCCCTAGCCCCACAGCTCCTTGCTTATCCCCCAGGTGAATTAGAAGCTAAGTATATCAACTCTACCTTACATAAGCGAGCTGTATTCCTCCCAGTTTTAGTAGGCCTAAGCTTTGCAGCTTCCGTTACTAGTATCAGCGTAGGAAGAGCAGGCCTAGCCACTAGTCTGCAATCCCAAGACACCATATGCCAGGAACTCCACAAGGCTTTATCCTCAGTAGCCACCTCCATGGCCTCACTCCAGCGCCAGGTCCTCTCACTAGCTAGAGTAGCACAGCAGAACCACTGAGCTCTAGACCTCCTCACTGCAGACAGAGGAGGCATCTGCATATTCCTAGGGGAAGAATGCTGTTATTTTGTTAATGAAAGAGGCCTAGTTGAAGAAAACATCCAACGCATAAACGAATTAAGAATTAGACTCAGGCCAAGCTCAGGGATTGGGCCCACATCTTGGTGGCAGGATACTTTACTCTCCTTTCTTGCCCCCATCCTAGGCCCCGTAATAGTGCCCATGCTCATAATTACTGTAGGGCCCTGGGCCAGCAGAACAGTAGTCAGCCAGCTAGAAAGTACATTAGTAAGGAAGACCACCAGCCGCATACTAATGCTTCAACAACAACATGAGCAAAGGACCCCTCTCCTGGGTGCAGAGATAGATGAAAGCGCTGTCTAAGCACCCACAGGGGGGAATGCTATGGGAAGCTTTGAAGAAGCTTTGTTTACCCAAACCCCAAGTACCCTAGGAAGAGCAATAGGGAAAAGCAGGGAAAAGTCTGGGAAAAGCAAACAGCAGGATATTCACAAGGGCTAGGACTAGCACCCCTGCGGTTAGAACTAATTTCCGCATTTAGCCTTTGTACTCTGCTTCTGCCACGTAGCTAGAACTAACTTCCGCATTCTGTTTCTGTATCCCACTTTGCTACGTAGACAGGAAGACCCCGTAGACTATATAAACCCCAAGAATCCTTTGTTTGGGGCTCAGGATTTGGAGACTGACTCCTGTGGGTCCGTGCATGTTAATAAACCCCGTACTCCAGAATCCCTCGGTGTCTGGTTGCTTCATTTTCCTTTAACAATTCATTCCTCTTTACTTTTCATTGTTTTTTTACTTTCCATGTTTTATTCTGGGTCATTTCTTCTGATATATCTTCCAAATTCACTAATTTTGTTTTCAGCTGGGTATAATCAGCTGTGAAACATGTGTGTTGAATTCCTAATTTCAGTTATTTTGTTCCTCAGTCCTAGAATTTCTACTGTATTTTTATTCACCCACAGGGTCATTTTTTTTATAGTTTTCAGTTTCTTGATGAAAATTTGGCTTTTATCTTCATAGGCACCCTCTTAATTACTTTACTATTTTTTCTAGTTTTTAAATATATACTCATTTTTGTAATTCCTATTGTTGACATTATTATAGGTGTCCCCATTTCCCCCCCTTTGCCCACCTCCTCACAGCCCCCACCCCACTGACCTCTGGCTATTACCACACTGTTGTTTGTGTCTATGGGTCATGCATACTTGTTCTTTGTCTAATCATTTTACCTTCTTTCATCCAGTTCCTCCCCCCCCCCCCACTGACAGATGTCATCTGGTTTCATGTGTCCAGGCCTCTGTTTCTACTTTGTTCATCAGTTTATTTTGACGTGGAATCTAATAGGGTATTTGTCTTTCTCTGACTGGCTTATTTCATTTATCATAATAATTTCCAGGTCCATCCATGCTTTCTCAAAAGCCATAAGTTCCTTCTTGTTTATGGTTGTATATTATTCTACTGTGTAAATGTACCACAGGTTTTTTTTATCTACTGATCTACTGAGGCTTTACTTCCTGGTGCTAGGACCCTGTGTTGCGTGATCTGTCTTGCTTCCCAGTTATCTGTGCACAAATGTGGGATCACTGCCTGGTCAGCCAGCCACCTTGCACAGGGTGCCTGCGTGCCCGGTTTCTCAATCACCGCTTCACTGGGCCTGCCCATTGCCACCCCATGCCCGGGGTCTGCCAGCTGCTGCCTTCCATGCCCAGGATGCCTTGTGCACCCGCACCGGGTGTCACTGCTTCCTGTGCTGAGACCCTTCTCTGCTCGGCTTCCGGACTCCACCCACCTACCAGTCTGGATTAATGTGTCTATTTTAACTCCTTGGTTGTTGGACTTTCATACAGTTCAATTTTCTTTCAGTTTTGGTTGTTACTTTGTTTTTGAATTGTTGTTGTCCTTATTTTGGTTGTTCGAGGAGGCACACTGTGTCTACCTATGCTTCTATCTTGGCCAGAAGTCCTTATTCTTTTTTATTATTTTTTCTTTCTCTTGCTCTGAATGGGTGTTTTTTTCTACCTTGTCTTCCAAATCACTGATTCAGTCTTCAGCTTCATCCAACCTACTTTTTATTCCTTCCAGTGAATTCTTGATGTGTGATGTGGTAGTCTTCATTTCTGACTAGTTCTTTTTCATGGTTTCTGTCCTTTTTCATGCTGTTGCAGTTCTCACTAAGTGCTTTGAGCATCCTTATAACCTCGACTTTGTACTCTATATCTGATAGATAGCTTGCCTCCATTTCATTTAGGTTTTTTTTTTTTTTTTTATGGAGATTCCTCCTGTTCTTTCATTTGGGGCCTGTTTCTTTGTCTCCCCATTTTAGGCATCTCTTTGCATTTGTTTCTACATACTAGATATATCTGCTGTGTCTCCCAGTCTTTCTAGGGTGGTCTTATGTAGTAGGTGTCCTGTGGGACTCAGTGGTGCAGTCTTCTTGATCTCCTGAGCTAGGTGCTCTAGGAATGTCCCTTGTGTGGTTATGTGGGCCCTCCTATTGTTACTGAGTCTTGATTGCTGTTGGGCTGTTCATTTGTGGGATCTTCCCTCTGCTAGTTGACTGTGAAGCTCAACCCTTACTACAGTATGCGAGCTACTGTGAAGATGCTGCTGCAATCTCCCTGTGGATATGCTGTTTATAAATTTTGTTGGATTGTGCTCTGATGTTGTTTGAAGCTGGCCACTTGGTGTGTTGGTCCTGTCCCCTTTGGAAGGGTCTCCAATACTGGCCAGTGTCAGATGCCCTTTGTTCCTGTCCCTTCGCAACCTGCTGGAAGTTACAAGTGATCCATTGTTTCTGGCTGCCTCTGCTGAGCCTGGCTGCACATGGGAAGGACTGCGCTGTGTTCCAAGGCCAGCTTCTACCAGTGATAGGCTCTCGGGTGGGCCAGCAGACCTCCCGAGGAACCCCAGGATCCACCTCTGCCCACCTCTGCCCACCTCTGCCCACCTCTGCCCACCAACTGTTTGCCAGGCACAGTCACTGAAAGACCCTCTGGTGGAAATGGGAAGATGGGGCTAGTGGATCTCCCATGAGGGTGATGTGTCATTCTGATTTCAGGGAAGGTGGTAAGTATGATCCCTTGCCTCAGAGCCACATGATTGAGTCTGTCCTCAATTTTGCCTTGACTCTAGCATGGCGGAGACCCTATTAGTCAGGCAGGTGGGGACTCTGAGGCTCATAGTTTAGGTCTTCTGGAAGATAGGATATTGTTCCTATCAGATCTCTTGTAAGGGGGGAGCACAAGCCAGGTTCAGTGGAGAGCGGAGGGAGTGGCCCCACCCCAAAGCCAGTCACTGACAGTTCCTGAGTCTGCCCAGACTTCTACATCCTGGCTTATAACTGACTACTTAACCTGGCTTAAGATCTACCAGGTAGAGTGGGCTGGATTCTAGAGGGTGGGGTAATTGCTTTCCTCCAGGCCGATGCTACTTGGAGAGATTGCTTTGCCCAGGTAAGATGGTACCGTAGTATCTGAAACTGACTCAGTGCCAGGATCCTGGCAGCTGTTCCCCTTACTCTCTCCCCAGAGCCGCAAACCCCCGACTCTCCTCAGGCAACTTCCGTCCACACTGCCCTCCCTCTGCCAGACAAAGCCCAAGGGTAAGTGGCTGCTAGTGAAATTTTGCATGTTGGACCTTTAAGAGGGTGCCTGTGTCTCTATGGATTCTGCCTCTCCTTGGCAGACAGAAACTCAGCTGTTTTTTACAGGCAGATGCTATGTGGATGCCTCCTTCTGGCTCTGGTGCTCTGGGTTGGGGAGCCAGGTTTATGGTTGAGGCCCTACACTTCTCAGGGGGAACCTTCCACAGCTGACATATTCCTCTGGTACCCCAACCACCTCCCATGAGAGTGGGGCTAGCCTCTTTAGCATCTCAGTACTTCCTGCCAGTCTTGATGCAGCTCCTTCTGCAAATCTTTGGTTATAAGACTCCTCTTCAGCTAGTTTTTAGTTGATTTTTCAGGGTGATTGTTCCCCAGTTTAGTTGTATTTCCAGTTTGGTCCTGGAAGGTGGTTAAGTGTAGCTTCTGCCTACTCTGCTGCCATCCTGGAAAGTCTATATTTTGAACTGTCTGGATCATGGCTCTTTTTGGTTCTTTGTTGTCTGGGGGCAGCTTTTGTTCATGTGTTCTTCCTTTGTGCCCGATTCTCTTTAATTAGGTAAGTTTTACTGTACTGGAAAAATTATTCATAGAAATAATTAGAAAATTATGATGATGTTATCTTCCTCCAGAGATGACTTAACAGGAAGCTAAACAACAAAACAAATAAGCAAGCAAAATATAACCAAAGACACTGAAATAAAGAACAGGCGGATAGGGACCAGAGGGGAGAGGGGAGGGAATTTCAGGGGAAAAGGGGAAGGATTTACAGAAACTAGTGTAAAGGACACATGGACAAAAACTAAGGGGGGGGGGTGGAAATGGGAGGGAGGTGGGGAGCATGGGGCGGGGTGGGCTGGGATGGGAGTAAAAGACAGAAAACTGAACTTGAATTATTAAATAAAAATTTTTTTAAAAAGAGATGATTTCCTTTGTATCTCCAGATACCTGGCAGCACTGCAAATCCAGGACCGCCTTAATTCATTTTCAGTTTCATACCTACGTTGTAATTTCAGTCTGGGCTGCTTCACTTCTTTATCACCCATAGTATCGGTGCACCCTAATGGGCCCCGCCCCCGAGTGTGGGGTGGTTTACCAGGAACTCACTTGGGCAGGCACGGAAGCCTACTTTTACTCTCTAGCCAGGCTTTCAAAAGAACTACTTTGCCTTCTAACAACCTCTTTAGCATCAAAATGCCTGCCTAGGCCTGTGCAACTATATGTTCCAATATCTTTCTCTAGTAATTCCACATTATTTTTCTGATTCTTTGATAATATTTGAATTATATCCTTATATTTCATGTAGCTTTATGTAATAACTTTAAGCAGGAAGGTCGATATTTATTATTTTAAGTAGAATTGATACTGGATGAAGTTTTAACTATGTTTACATTAAACATCTCCTGTGCTATACTTTCAATTACCAATTTTGGTTAATCAAGAGAACTTACTGTATACTTTTACTTCCAGCTATTTTATAGTGGCTTAGAGGAGCCAGGTAGTAAAACATCTTTTAAAGAAATTGATACAAAGGTACTCAAGATTCAAAGGGTTAAGATTCTGGAGAGGGAAGAGTACTTAAATACTTACTGAGCAGACATTCTGACAGCAGCTTTTCACCCCCAGGGCATTTTCCATTTTTTGAGAAGCTGGGACAGACCTAGAACCCAGAAGAGGTCCTGTGCTGAACAACTTCATGGGGCAATTTCACAGGGTGGAAGACATTCAATGGAGTTCCAAAGGAAAAGACTGTTAGTTTGACTACCTGAAGATGTACAGCTTCTGTATTTTAAGAAATATAAAAGTAGGAGAATGCATAAAATTAAAAAATCACTATTTTTCCACTTCTAATGGATGTAAAATGATCACCAGTAGATTCTAAACCATTAGCAAAAAGGTTAATGGTGAACTTGAAGAAAACTGGATTACATTGGCAGTACCTGAAACCACTGGTCAGTTTCAACATTAATAGTACCTGAAACAAACAGTCAAACATTATATGCCTCCACATTTGATTCAAAGTACACAGCACCACAAAGGAAGTATTCTTGCAAAAGAATCTACCATGAATCTAATGAAACCTACAGATCTAGCTATCAGTTTGAAAGCCATACCGGATATAGCAAAAGTGTTCACACCAAAGGAATGCAGTCAGTCAAATGCCTAAGGGTGGGAAATTCTATAGGTCAAATGTGCTGGGTTTTCCAGGGAGTAAGTGATATGAAAAGGTTAAAAAGATGAAGAAGGGTAATTGTTACAGATTAAAGAAGACTCTTTTATACTCTTTGGTACAGATTAAAGGAGATATATGAATATTGACCATATGCAATGTGTGGATCTTATTTGGATCAAATATAAACATTGAAAATACAAAGGGAAATTTTTAAGAAATTTGAACATTAGATGGGCGGTTAGATGATGTTGTTGGCTTTATTGGGTGTGAAAGAGGTATATTGTAATTAAGGTTTTTTTCAATACTTATAAAAAAGAGGTTCTGAGTATTTTGTGTATAGTGGTACGTCTGTGATTTGCTTTATTTTTTTTAAGATCTTGTTTTTTTTTAAGAGAGGGAAAAGGAAGGAGAAAGGGAGAGAAATATCAATGTGTAGTTGCCTCTTGCATGCCCCCACTGAGGACCTGGCTCACAACCTGTGCATCTGCCCTGAGAAACCAGAGACCTTTTGGTTCACAGGTTGGTGCTCAATCTATTGAGCTACACCAGCCAGGGCTGTGATTTCCTTTAAAGAATTTTTTAAGATTTATTTATTTATCTTTAGAGGGGAAGGGAAGAGAGAAGGAGAGAAACATCAATTATGTACAGATCTGTTGAACTTTCGCAGGCCTGTGCTCAATCCACTGCAAATATGGAAAATTTTAATAATTGTTTGAACTGGTTAATGGACACATAGTGGTTTATTTGGCTATTTTCTCTACTTTTGGTATATTTACAAATACTCATTGAATAGGGCCAGAAAAAGATCAGAAACAAAATTTCATTTGTACCACATAGCCTCTTTTAAGTGAGAACATTATAAGCTACTCTCCTTACTGGGTGAGTATCTTCTGTTTGTGAGTGGTGTCAGACAATGAGACATAAACACTCATTTTTATATTATATCTCCTAGTTCTGTTAGATACATGTAGTTCTCCCATTTCTAAGGAGGTGTACCATAATCTCACTAAAACTATGGAAAGGAAGAAGGGTAATTCTGGAGAGCAAGAATGGGTGCATATATATTTTTTTATTGTTCTTTAATATGTTTTACTAATTATGCCACTACAGTTGTTCTATTCCCCCCTTCATTCCCCTCCACCCACCCCCCCATCCTCACCATTACCTCCCATTTAGTTTATGACCATGTGTCTCAAGTTCTTTAGATTCTATATTTCCCATACTATTCTTGCCCCCCCCCCCATCTATTTTCTATCTACTGTCTATGCTACTTATTTTCTGTACCTTCTCCCCACTTCTCCTTCTCCCACTACCCTGCTGCCAACCCTCCACGTGATCTTCATCTCCATGGTTCTGCTCCTGATCTAGCTGTCCTTTTAGTTTGCTTTTGTTTTAGGTGTGGTTGTTAATAACTGTGAGTTTGCTGTCCTTTCACTGTTCATCTTTTTCATCTTCTTTTTCTTAGGCAAGTCCCCCTCCCCCCAACATTTCATATAATAAGGGCTTGGTGATGATGAACTCCTTGAATTTGATCTTATCTGAGAAGCACCTTATCTGTCCTTCCATTCTAAATGAAAGTTTTGCTTGATAGAGCAATCTTGGTTGTAGGTCTTTGGATTTCATGACTTGGAATACCTCTTTCCAGCTCCTTCTTGCCTGTAAGGTCTCCTTCGAGAAATCCGCTGACAGTCCCATGGGAACTCCCTTGTAGGTGACTGCCCCCCCCATCTCTTGCGGCCTCTAGGACTCTCCCCCTCATTTCAACGTTGGCTAATGTAATGATGATGTGCCTCGGCGTGTTTCCTCCTGGGTCCAACTTCTTTGGGACTCTCTGATCCTCCCAGACTTCCTGGAAGTCTATTTCCTTTGCCAGATTGGGGAAATTCTCCTTTATTATTTGTTCAAATAAGTTTTCCACTGGTGGCTGTTCCTTTTCCCCCTTCCGGTACCCCTACAATTCGGATGTTGGAGCGTTCAAAGATGTTTTGGAGGTTCCTAAGTCCCCTCTCACTTCCTTGAATTCATGTTTCTTCACATTTTCCTGTTTGTCCATTATCTTCTTCCTTCTGGTTCACTCCCCCTGACCAGAGTCCCAGTCTCCTCCCCATCACCACTGGCCCCCTGTACAATTCCCCCTACCTCAACTAGCCTAGCCCCCATACGTTCCTCCAATCCACGACCACAATCAACCAGTTCTGTGAGCATTCCGACCACCAGTGCCCTGAACTGTGCATCTGAAAGCCCTGCCACCTCCCTGTCACTTAGATCTATGGGCTCCCGGGCCCTGAGATCCTCCTGAGCCACCCTTGGTCCATTTGCGCCTGTAAACCATGAGGAGCAGAGCCCTAGGTGTCCACCAGGGCAGGGCTGCCCAGGTTGCTGGGTTGCCATGCTGCATGTGGGGGGTGGGGCCAGAGCGGGGAAATGGCGGCCCCTTCCACGGCCTCTCGCCGCTGGGGCTTGCTTGGTCCCGTGGTCTCCCCACCCACTCCCTCACTGATCCATCTGGGCAGGAATGCGGGACCATAGTCAACCTGCCACCCTGCACCCTCGCTGGGTACGCTGGTCGCTCACTGGGCTGCTCACTGGTTCCGCTCTTTGCAACCCCACACCTGGGATCCCCTGAGTCTGTCCACACGAGTTTTTCTGTGCAACCCCGCCCTGCCAGCTGCTGGCTTCGCCCCTCTCACCGGTCAGGCCAAAGAATTTGTTTCCATCAGACTTCCGAAAAGTTCAATTTTCTGTGTTCTGGCTGCGCTTTCTGTTGCCAACATCTTGCTCTCAACTTGGCCATGGGAGAAAGCACGGCGTCTCCACCTATGCCTCC